AGTGATTCCCCTCCCTCGGTGCTCCCCCTCCCCCAGCCCCCCTCAGTGTTCGCCTCCCGCTGTGCCCCCCCCCCCCCAGTGGCCCCCCCAACCTCACTCAGCGCCTGCTCCCCCACTCTCACTCAGTAGCCACCCCCACCAAAGTCTCTGTGCTGGTGCCAGGGTCCCACCTTGTTGAAATCACAGAGTTTCCAGAAGAGAACCAGCAGCTCCTGATGGAACTGAATTTTCTTGGTCGAGTTAGGTAGGTACGTCTGAAGCAATGGGTTGTTTAACAAACGAGCCAGGCCTTTCAGAATGAACTGGAAATCCTGAGCAGCCAAAAACAAATACAATCATTCATATCCACTTTTCAGACACGGACTGACTGCATCAGAGTAGTTTCCAGGTGGACTCCCTGTCAATGTGCAATTTGTTGCACCATTATGTAATAAAGTCTTGTATTCCAAATTTAAACAACCCTGACAGTTCACATATAAAGTGAATTAAAAGGGAGTGTTCATAATTTGCACAGCTCCACATGCATCTGCCTTCATCCTGTTCTGATGTTGTACTTTCCACAGAGTTCCCTGTACTGGTGTTTGTACGGTGTCCTGTGTCCTGTGATATGTTCTTTGCTGGTATCCACAGTGACCCAAGATATCCCTCATTCTGCTGTCAGCACACAGCGTTATCTGCTGCTCTGGTGTCAGCATTATTCACAGTGATATCCCCTGTACTGGTGTCCACATTGCACACTGATTATCCCTGCATTAGTATCAGCCCTATACACAGTGATATCACCTACATATTGTCTGTTCTGTACAGTGATATCCCCCAACCAGATGCCTACACTGTCCTGTACATTATCCTTCACACTGGTGCCAGTACTGTTTTCTTGGTGCTACGGAGTAACAGCTTCAACAAGTAATCATACTCTAGCATCTTTAACAGTGTTTAATTACCACTAACAGACTTGTCATTTAACTCAATTTGGCCTATCCAAGTTTAATCTAGAGTAAAGCATTTGTGAAAAAATGAATTGCAATTTGGCAAACTCAGTACAAGGAATATCACAGGGGACAGTGCAAACACCAGTACAGGGGATATCACAGGGGACAGCGCAAACACCAGACCCTATGGCTTTAGAACTCCATGTTTCACATGTATACTCTCCTGTGCCCTTTGTAGTGACTTGCAGCATTATCTCTAACATTTTTCCCTAACTTTTGGAACTGGAGGTCAGTTGTAAAATTGGCGTGATGTCACTGATCATTGTGCATGGAACTTGATACATTATCAATTTGTTTACAGTTCCTGGTTGAGATATTTCATTTGTATGACTCTTTCTAATTGTTTTGTTATGCTTAAACCACTTCACTGAAGAATCAGGCTTACAGGTTTCACAGCTCAGTACAATCTCTTAAGCTTCTATCAACACCAGGTTCTTAAGTTGCTTTGTGATTTCTGCTGGTTTTTTTCACCATCAAGAAAGCTTTTGAGCTGAGATTTTGCAAATGGAGAGTTACCTCTCCAGCATCCAGAACAGCCATCTCCTTAAGGTTAGGGATGTACTTTCGGTCAATAATAAACACCTCAAATTGTTCGCTGCCTTCCACAAACACACTATTTACAGTCCAGTAACATTCATTAACACTTTCATGAGAAAACATGCATTCAAAAGTTCTATTTTCATCTTCTTTAATCTCTGTGCTCTGTAGCTGTTTTCCAAGGTTTAGATCTTGGTTGGTGACGTTAGCATTTGCTCCGTCGGTGCCTACATCCCAAGTATACAATCCAGCATCAGTTTCATTCAGGTCATGCCCTAGAAAACATATTTGTCACTTGAACCAAAAGCCACTTTTGCCAGATAGGACTGACTTTGGGTATTGATACTTCACATTCCAAGGTGATCATTCCTCTCTCTTCCAAACAATGTCATCCAAGGGTTTCATGAAGGCCACTGGATTTCCTTTCACTTTATGGGAAGTTGTGGCCTGTCGATCTCCTGAATCACAGGTATATATTCTCCTGCATTTTCTCGTTTCAAATTCAGCAACAGAACCCACTTGCTTTACTTCACACTTGGCAGTGGGACGAAGCAACGTATTGCCCTTTCTCCATTCTACTGGAGCAGCAGACTTCGTAAACTCACAACGTGCAGACGTGGTACTACCTTAGCAGCCTTCTTATTCTGAAGAACTTGTTTGAAAAGTACCGGAGGTGATTAACTTTCAAGGAAGCACTGATTCATTAGTCTTCAATGTCACTGTTCTCTGGTTTAAGTTTGTCACTGACCAGCTAAATGATGGATACTTTCTGCTTCGTTTCACATTTAGCAGGAGGCTGAAGTAGAATCAGATTCATACAGAATGGAAACAGGCCTTTCCGTCCAACTCGTCCACACCAACCAAAATCCCTATCTGATCTGGTCCCATTTGCCAGCATTTGGCCCATATCCCTCTAAACCCTTCCTATTCATGTATCCATCCAGATGCCTTTTAAATGTTGTAATTGTTCCCATCTCCACTACGTTCTCTGGCACTTCATTCCATACACGCACCACCTTCTGGGTGAAAAAGTTGCCCCTTAGGTCTCTTTTAAACCATTAACAGATTAAGAGAAGAGAAAAGGAAATGCACTGCAAGAAAAAAAACACTTTTCAGAATACAGCTGAAACAAAGACTAGAAAATTGACATCAAGAGCTTGGCAGGGATAAATGTATTTAATTCAATATAAGTAGCGTGGGGTATAAGGCTGTTGAGCCGAGCACATGGATTGATATGTGGGAGTATGATATCCAGCTATTACCAAGACATGGCTGAAACAGGGGAAGAAATGACATCTCAACATAAGTAGAGTGGATACTTTTATCCATTGTACTGTTGTATCTGATCTGCTAACTTCACAATGCAGGATGGCAGGATCATCCTCTTTAGCTTATTCATCGTTAAGCTTTTGACTGAAGCTCATAGCTAAGGCTGCAATTGTCAGGTGATCTCTTGACTGTGCATTACCAACATTGCACCTGTAGTTGTCACTGTTGAGCAGATTAATTGCAAAGTGTCATCCTGGTTATGTTGTTGTTCTTCAAACACGCATTCAATGTGCCCTTCTTTAGCGAAGTTTCTGCATTCAGCTTCTTTATAGCAGCAATTTGCTGCTGTGTGACCTATTTTTCCACACCCATGGCAGCTTTAAGTCTGCATTGATGCTTGTCTTTCAGGTGCATTTTGGGAACTCTCTCTGCTGCCATTTTGTGAACTCGTGTGCTCAAACTTAGCTGCTAAGCTTCCTTCTTCTGCTAGCTGCATTGAGACTGTTACTTTCAGCGCTTGTTTTAAGCATAGTTTCTTTTCAGACAATAACCTCTTCTGGATTGCTTCACATCTTGAACGACACACCTGTCTGTCTCTGACAGCATCATTTAAATTGTCTTTGAATTTGCAGCATTCTGCCAACTTCCGTAAAATTGCTGCAAACCGGGAGATAGATTCACCATCATGTTGGCTATGTTTGTTAACCTGAACCTTTCAGCAATCACCAACGGTTTTGGTGAAAAATGACTCTGGAGGATTCCTACTATTTCTGAAGTTTTGGAACCCAGCTTCTCTGGCTGTATCAGACCCATCAGGAAGTTGGAAGTATTTCCCCTAAGTATTCTGGAACGCAGGAACAACAATATCTGCTTCAATTTTGTTAGCTTGAACAAATAATGGAACCTCTCTGTGTAGGAGTTCCAGCTCTGTGTTGTCATCATACGGTCCCATGGCATCAAAACCTCCTGTCATTTAAAACTGGTTTTAAAATGCAAAGGGTCTGAGTACCAAGAGAATTTTAGCACTGCCTCACTTTTTTCCATTTAAAACAAGGTATTCCTGAGGCTGCCTATTTCTTTGTGAGTCTATACTCTTATCTCAAAATATTTCCCTCGGTGTAGGGTATTCGTTATTCAGTGTTCTTTCAGGGTGGAGAATGGGGTGAGCTTCTTCTGCACTGTTCACCTCTTCCCAAAGATTTTTATTTTGTGAAATGTACCTGTTTCAATCTTTTGATTTTTTTTTTAAATCAAAGTGCCTCCACGAACTGTAGTGAAGACCATGATTATTTTTTTCAATGAATCAGTGGATTGACCCAGTGGATCGCACAGCAGTTTTTATCCCATTCATGTCACCAGTTTTCTTCTTGTGTTACATTGTAAGGAGGATAGAAGGCCGAAGTGTTCAACAACATTGGAAGTTTTATTACAGCAGGTACTCACTCTACAAGCAATAAGGTTAGACTGAGCAGTTTCGCTCCTAAATGGCCAATGACGTCGTCATGGTGTCACGTGATCAGATTCTTAAAGTGACAGTCCAACGTACTTATACAAACACACAACAACCTGGCATCTACCCTCCTGTTCCTCAACTACTGCTTCTCCCTTTCGACATCAACATTATACAGTGCCTTGAGTGTAGTCTGGCACCCTTATGCACTTCACAGCTGTGCGTTCAGACAAACTTAATAGCAAAGAAATGTTCGGACAGATGATCAAATGTTTGGCCAAAGAGGTAGATTTTAAGTAATGCATTGGAAGAGGATGGAAAAGGGAAGATTCAGAGAAGTTCGAGGAGGGATTGAGAGAACAGTAGGTCTTACAAAACCAGTGCCATATTATCTCTGGTTCCCACCAACAATAATGCGTTTCACATTTCATCCCCCTCCCAGATGACTACGAGCCTGAACCAGACACTTTAGAAACCCAGTGACTCAGAGCTGAACTTCTGATCGCCTGTCCTCCCCTTTACTAAGTCTGCCCACTTTCGCCATCTCAACATCATCTACCTCTGCCCTGCCTCAGAGACTCCCTGCTGGAACCATCACCCATGATTTTGTAATTTCCTGACTTTACAATTACAATGCTCTCCTGCTCAGCATTTCCTCTTCCACTCTCCGTAAATGGAGCTTGATCCAAAAGCTCAGCTGCCTGTATTCAAACTCAGCCCTAAATTTGCAGAACTCTATTGACTTTGATCCTTCAAAGTGTCAGGTTTAAAATTCTCATTTTTGAGCCCAGCTCCTCAATACCTCGAAGCCTTCATTGAGGTATAACCTCCTCGAGCCCTCCACTATGCCCTGCTCTCCTCCAATTCTGGCTTCTTGCCCGACACCATCACCACAAGGCTGATACCTGTGTATTTAGCCATTGAGGCCATAAGTTCCAAATTCCCTCCATGAACCTCTGCTTCCCTCCCTCCTCCTTCAGAGCACTTTTTTGGTCAAGTCTTTAGTTATGTACTCTAATATCTCCATCTTTGGTTGGTGCCAATTTCTGTCTGACCCTGACCATGTTACACGCTCCTGAAACTGCACACTTTCACATGGTCCTGATTTTTAGATTGAATTAAAGACGCTCAGTTTGCTCAGAGCTGGCTCTGCATTAACTGGGTCACTGTTAGCTTGGTTCATCATTCTCACAATGTTACATCCAGTGAGCTCTAATCACCTGCCATAACCTTTCCTTGTTAATGCAAACAAATGAAGGAAACTTACCTCCTCCCTATGTATTCTAGACAAGTAGTTGACAAACAGATTCTCTGGACCAGGAGGCTGTAAAAGATCAATAACAAAGTTTGGACTCAAGAACATAAGAAGTACGAGCAGGAGGAGGTCATTCAGCTGTTTACACATGCTCAGTCAGAGATCATGGTTGATCTTCTGCTCCAACACCATCTTCCTGCCCATTCCCATATTCTGTCTGTAATATGTAGAAATTTATCCATCTCAGTTCTGCACATCATTAATGAGCTTACATGGCCCACAGGGGCAGAGAGTTCCAAAGCTCCACCTTCCTCTATGTGAAAAAGCCTCTCCTTATCTCAGTGCAAATGACCTGCCTCTTATTCTGAATCTATATTCCCGAGACTCAATAGCCCAGCCAGGGGGAGAAACCTCCTGGCATCTATCCTGTCAAGCCCTATAAGAAATGTGTATTGGAGTGAGATCACTTCATTCTTCTAAACTTCAGAGGATACAGACCCATTCTATCATCTCAGAGATAGCAAGAACTGCCAGTGCTGGAGTCAGAGATAACACAGTGTGGAATTGGAGGAGAACAGCAGGCCAGAGGAGCAGGAAAGTTGATCTTTCGGGTTGGGACCCTTCTTCAGAAATGGGGAGGGGGGGGAAGGGAGCTCAGAAATAAAGAGAGAGGGGGAGGTGGGTCTGGGGAAGGTAGGTGGGATGGTGATAGGTGAGTGCAGGTAGGGAGTGGTGGGGATTGGTCAGTGAGGTGGGAGGGGCGGATAGATGGGAGAGAAGATGGACAGGTTGTGTCAGGTCAAGGAGGCAGGGATGAGAGGGAGGGTCGGTCATGGGATGAGGCCACGGGTGGAGAGAGAGATTTTAAAACTGGTAAAATCCATGTTTAGGCCATTGGGTTATAGGCTCCCGAGGCGGAATACGAGGTGCTGCTCCTCCAGTTTGCGGGTGGCGTCATTGTGACACTGGAGGCGGCCCAGGATTGACATGTCACCCAGGGAGTGGGAGGGGGAGTTGAAATGGTTCGCAACTGGAAGGTGATGTCGTTTGTCGCAAATAGAGTGCAGGTGCTCTACAAAACGGCCTCCGAGCCTCCACTTGGTCAGTGGAGGAGGCCACATCAGGAGCAGCGGAAGCAGTAGACCACGTTGATGGATGTGCAGGTGAACCCCTGTCTAATGTGGGAGGTTTGTTTTGTGCCTTGAATGGAGGTGAGGGGGGAGGTGTAGGGGCAGGTGTAGCACTTTCTGCGATTGCAGGGAAAGGTGCCGGGGGTGGTGGGGGCTAGTGGGGAGTGTGGAGCGCGCGGTCCCTACGAAAGTCAACTTGGTCTACCGCATCCGCTGCTCCCGATGTGGCCTCCTCTACATCAGTGAGACCAAGTGGAGATCCGGGGACTGTTTCGTAGAGCATCTGTGCTCTGTACGCAACAAATGATAACATTTTCCAGTCATGATCCATTTTAACTCCCCCCACCCCCCCAAACCCCCACTCCCTGGGCAACATGTCCATCCTGGGCCTCCTCCAGCATCACAATGACGCCACCCGGAAACTGGAGGAGCAGCACCTCATATTCTGCCTCAGGAGCCTACAACCCCATGGCCTAAATGTGGATTTCACTGGTTTTAAAATCTCCCCACCCCCAGACTCATCCCATGACCAACAGTCCCTCACATCCCCACCTCCTTGACCTGACAAAACCTGTCCATCTTCTCTCCCACCTATCCGCTCCTTCCATCTCACTGACCAATCCCCACCACTACCTACCTGCACTCACCTATCACCATCCCATCTACCTTCCCCAGCCCCACGTCTCCTCTCTCTATTTATTTCTGAGTTCCCTTCCCCCTCCCCATTTCTGAAGAAGGATCCCGACGCGAAACGTCAACTTTCCTGCTCCTCTGATGCTGCCTGGCCTGCTGTGTTCCTCCAGCTCCACACTGCGTTGTCCCATTCTATAATCTCTTCCTTTTGCCTTAGGTAGGGAGACCACCAAACACCTTACATCAGATGTGGTCTCACCGAGGCTCTGCATAACTCAGAAGTATTTTTACGCTCATATTCAAATCCTCTTGAATTAAGAACCAACATGTCATTTGCCTTCTCATTTGCTTACTGTTAATTTTCAATGACTCATAAACAAGGACACCCAGGTGCCTTTGAAGTATGACATTTCTCAGCATTTCACTATTTAAGAAATTAATCCTGTATTTGGGGATATAAAATATCATGTTTAGTACTTCTAAATTCATCTTCCTTTCCTGATGATATTGTGGGTTACCACTGACCAACATGGTAGTGATTTTTGACCTTGTAGATGGTCCCCAAGGGAAACTGGCTTCAGCATTATAGACCTGCAAGCCTATTCAAGAAGCATTTATCGAAACTAGAATGCCTTGCTGGAGGCTGTTTCTTGATTGCCACAGACCAAACAATCCCGCCCCAGCTCTTTATAGATACTTCCAAGAATTTTTTATTTCCCGCAAACCTAAATTTAATCAAATCCAACAAAAATACGAACAGGACCTTAGGGACACCAAAACCCTTAATTCCAAATTTTAAAGGAAGCTGAGAAGAACTTTAAACTAAAATGCTGTTCACATCTAAATATGTTGTGCTAAGAATAAACAAGTGCAACTAATCAAACAAAAATAAAGCAGCTCAATGGGGGTACCATAACTCAAAGAAAATTTGGGAGTCAAATCAAGATGTCATTTATGTATACATCCAAATAGTCCTTTTGCAAAACGAAAAACCAAACTGAACTGAATTAAATAAACATCAAACAGCCCTGTAACTGAAAAAAAAATTAGGGGATCAAATCAGAATGTAATTGATATGGGAGATTACACATCCCGGCTCCCGCAGTGTCAATCAGTCAAGAAAAGGTGTCAAATGTGCCTGTGAACTACACACATCTAAGGATTTATTTTAAAAACTTGTTCGGGCGCGTTATGTTAAATCTCCAGGGAAGGGGAGACTTGAATCAGAACCTCCTGATCCAGAGGCAGTGGCACTACCATTGTGCCACAGAACCCCAGGAGTCCCTTCACATTGTGAACAAGTGGACACTGTAGTCCTCAATAACACAGGGACGGGTGAGCTACGAGACTATTGGCCCATAGAGAAAATGTTTTTTAGTTAACCTATGTAGAGATGTTATTACACACCTCTGGAACAATTGGGACTTGAACCTGGACCTCCTGGTCCAGAGATAGGGGCACTACCATTGCATCATAAACACCCTGGGAGCCCCTCCCATAATTAACTAATCAATATTAAACACTTGTTTAACTTGCTACCTTCAACATATTAGATATGAGCAGAACCTATAAGATATTAACATGGAGTAGACCAAACCAGTGCTCAATTACCTTTAACTTGCGAGTTAGGGATGAGGAACAGAAAGAGACCGCTCAGCTAGTTCCACCATGTTGTTAAAACTGTACCTCTTCACCATAGATCAGTTACCTGCTGGTACTCGGTGTCAGAACTCAAGGCAAAAACACTGGTCACACAGGTGAAGGTAAATGTCATAGTGACAGCTTTCCTTCCAGCATGATCAGTGAATTAATGAGAAAGGGAGTGGGGACAGAAGTTTCCTGGCCTGGTCTGGTCCCTGAGTCAGAGGCAATAGTCACCAGCCAAAACAGTTTCATACAAAGCTTGACAATGTGCATGTTGGAAGCGCTGAGACAATAGTGAGGAAAACGATCACAGCAGGGGCTTGTGCCAAGTGTCCTACCTCTGCATCATCCATGGCCGTGCTTGTTGTGGTCCCATCCACAGATGGGCTCAGGCTGGTGGAGGCATCATGGTCCAGGGTAGCGATGAGGACCTGGGCAGCCACCTCCACCAGGGGCTCCCGGTAGTCGGAGAACAGCAGGTGGTTGTACGGAATGCCATATCCCACAGGGTCATATGCACACACAATGTTCAACAGTGACGTAAACAGCGGCAGTGCATGCCTGAAAGACAGCAATCAACCACGAGTGAGTTACAGAGTTTACAGAACGACTAACCGTAGAAATAGTGAGTGCCTAACTGAGCACTGGTGCAACATACCAGAAGAAAGCAAGACGTACGGAGCACGGATTCTGGAGGGTCAGTATCAAACATGGACCGCACAGAGTCTGAGAGGGTCAAAGATCAGACAGTGACCACATAAAGTGCAAGACTGGCTGGGTCAAAATCAATAGCTATCATTAACTGCTAACAAGATAACGTATTGTGACAAATTCAGCTCCATTAGAGTCAAGAAGTAACACTATCCCACTAATAACCTGCTCAGCAATTCTCAGACCTCATGACAGTAATGAGCCAGAAAAGGACAAAGGGACTAGATGTCAGAGGAGAGATAAGGTAACTGCCCTTAATATCAAAGCAGCATTTGACCAACTGAGGCATCAAGAGGCCTTGGCAAAGCAGAGGTGGGTACAGGCTCAGGGGGAAAACTCTCCTGTGGATGCAGTCAAACTCAATACCAGGAACAAAATGGTCAGACATTAATCATTGCAACAGCAGGACAGGTCCTTGGTCCAGCCACATTTTTTATTTGTTAACAAGATGTGGACATCACAGCGAATGCCAGCACTTGAGAACTGAAGGAACAGCACCTCACATTCCGCCTCGGGAGCCTACAGCGCAATGGAAGCGCTGGACTTCAGCAGTTTCAAAATCTCCCCACCTCCGGCCTCATCTCATGACCAACCGTCCCTCTCATCCCCTCCTCCTTGACCTGACACAACCTGTCCATCTTCTCTCCCACCTATCCGCCCCTCCCACTTCACTGACCAATCCCCACCACTACCTACCTGCACTCACCTATCACCATCCCATCTACCTTCCCCAGCCCCACCCCTCCTCTCTATTTATTTCTGAGCTCCCTTCCCCCTCCCGATTTCTAAAGAAGAGTCCTGAACCGAAATGCCAACTTTCCTGCTCCTCTGATGCTGCCTGACCTGCTGTGTTCCTCCAGCTGTGTTATCTCCGACTCCAACATCTGCAGTTCTTACTGTCTCTGACTTGATCTACTGCGATGTAATTTTCTTCTGTAATCTGTTTATCTGATTGAAATGTTTATCCTTTTAACTATGTCTTATTTCTAACTTATACTATGTAGCACTGTAAGGTAACGCAACATTTTTCTTCCTTATCCCTCTGTTTGTATCTAAGATTGTACCTAGATACTTTGTACCTAAAATGGCACCATGAGAGGCTTTTCACTGTACTCCTGTGCTTCTAATTCTATTACACGTCCCTAATTTCCCTCAAGACAGTGGTAGTAAACTCCTTGAATTGCTGCATTCCATGAAAGTACAAACATGGCTCTAGTTTAACGTCACATCTAACTGGTGGCACCTCCAAACAGTGCATCACTTTGTCTGTACAGTACCGGTGCGTCCACTGGGATGATGGGCTTAAATCTTGTGAAGGCAAGACAGCCATGGCTAACTTCTCAAAAGCTCCAAGTGGAGTAGACTCTGGAGTAAGTCAGCATCACCTCCTAATTTGGGCTGGAACTGGGAAACCATTATCAAGCTCAGAACACTCACTTCCTGTACAATCAGATGTGCAACTCCTCTCCCTGTCAATCTGAAAAACATGGATGGGATCAGCAGAGAACGGCACGGTGGCTCAGTGGTCAGTACTGCAGCCTCACAGTGCCAGGGACCCAGGTTCGATTCCAGCCTCCGGCGGCTGTCTGTGTGGAGTTTGCACGTTCTCCCTTTGTCTGCGTGGGTTTCCTCCGGGTGCTCTGGTTTCCTCCCACAGTCCAAAGATGTACAGGGTAGGTGGCTTGGCTGTGCTAAATTGTCATAGTGTCTAGGGTGGGAAATGCAGGGTAGGGTAAGGGATGGGTCTGGGTGGGATGGGATGCTCTTCGGAGGTTCTGTGTGGACTCGATGGGCCGAACGGCCTGCTTCCACACTGTAGGGATTCTATCATAGAAGGCTTCAAGAAAGGGGTTGAGAGAGCTAGAGGCAGGGTAGTAGCACTGTACCTAACAAGAAATAAAAAGAAACCCACAGCAGCCAGGAATATCACAGCAGCCTCACAGCATTTTGGATAGCTCCTTCTCCTACCTGGGCCTCACCTGTTCTCTGTTGAGCAGAAGAACTGGACCCAGGGATTAAGAATGTTTCCCTCGGAAGTGGGTGGGAGATACACAGCCTCGGAGAAACAAGTCAGCAGCAGTTTCAGGAGCTCTGTCCTGTGGGAACAACAGACAGGCAGAGTGAGGAAGGGATAGGAGTGCCAAGTTTTAAAACCTCAGTAAACCCAACTTACCCCATCAGCATTCACTAGGGCCCTTACAGAGTATTAGAGCACAGTAACAGCCCATCAGCTCACACAGGTCTGCGCTGGTGCTTAAACTCCAGAAGTCCCAGTTTAACCTCTTCCCACCCTGTCCTGTATTAATCCCCACAATTCTCCCATTCCGTGTACATACTCTGCCTCAACCAGTTAACAGGACAGCAAGAACCATATTCTGACCAGTGCTGAATTCTGTATTTGATCTGTGAGTAATGATCTTATATTCATGCCTCTTATTCTGGACTCCACAAATGGAAACAGTGTCTCCATATTGAACTTCTTCGTAATAAAGACTTTAAACAGGAAACACCAGGTCTTGCCCTTTCCAAAGGAAAAGAGCCTCCTCAATCCTTCCCAAGAGACCCATCCTCTCAATTTTTACAACATCCTTGAAAACCACTTTTTGAAGTATACAATGAATTTTTGCAATCAGGAGACCAGAACAGAGATGACTGCGGATATTTTTTGCTTTATAATGACTCCTTCAAATTGCAGCAATCCAGAGAATGTGATATCAAATCCCACTGCCGGAATTTCACAATTTAACATCAGGTTTGCTTTTAAATTTGGTTATGGGATGTGGGCATTGCTGACAAGGCCAGTATTTATTGCCCATCCCTGGAGAAGGGGGTGGTGAGTTGCCTCGTTGAATCACTGCAGTCCATATGGATTAATGCTATTAGGGAAAAAAATTCCTGGATTGTGACCCAGTGACATTGAAGGACTGTCAATACAGTTCCAAGTCAGGATGGTGAGCGATTTGGAGGGAAATTTGCAGGTGGTGTCCCCAACAATCTGCTTCCCTTGTTCTTCTTGATGGTAGAGATCACTGATTTGGAAGGTGCTGCCTAAGGAGTCTTGATGAGTTGCTGCAGTGCATCTTATAGATAGTACACCTTGCTCCTACTGAGCGTCAGGGGTGCAGGAAATGATTGTTGAAGGTGGTGGATTGAGTTTGAATCAAACGGGCTGTTTTGTTCTGGATGGAGTTGAGTTTCTTGAGTGTTACTGGAGATGCACCCATCTGGATAGGTGGAGAGTATTCCATCACACTTCTGATTTGTGTCTTGAAGATGGAGGAGAGGCTTTGGGGAATCAGGAGAAGAATTACTCAAATACCAAGTTAGCTAGCAGAACAAGAATTTAGATTTGGGCCTACATCTTATTTCCAGTTACCCGCCCCTCCGGCCAAATCCAGTCACAGCCCACTTGGAGCGCTGCCTGCAGGAGATTCCAATACAATGTGGATGATGAGTCACAGTCAAATCAGAGCCACACCTTTACACGGAGCAGTCCACAGCTGGGTCCTCACCTGTTCAGGTCGTGGATGTAGCTGTGAGGTGGAGAATGGGCGAATCCCACCCCAGCCTCCCAGATGTACTCACAGCTGTCAATACAATGAAGATCCTCAGCAGTCTCCTGATGGGGATAAATAAGATCAGTTAGTGAGCATCGAAATCCAGCACACTATACTCTCCCTCCATCCACAATCATTAATCGGAAATGTAATTGGTTTCAGCAGACAGGGAGGTATACCGTGCCAGGAATGGGGTTTTTAATCACACCAGGCACACACTGCCAGCATCAAATACCAGACGCACAGAGTTAGACACAGAGCAAATCTTCCTCTATACTGTCCCCATCAAACACTCCCAGGACAGTGACAGCACAGGGTTAGATACAGATAAAGGTCCCACTACGTTGTCCCCACCAAAGACATTCGGTGTCAGGATTTGCTGATGATAGCAAAACAGTTCACTTTTCAGAGGACCTAGGTGTGGCTGCTGGGAGAACAGAATCCCTCCCAGTGGGCAAATGGCTTGCTTCCTTTGATGGGCTGAAAATGATGAAAAGTTAGTGGTCAGCAGACATGAGTGGATCCGTCCACAGACAGACAGCGCATTGGTGAGAGGAAGAACAAGCAGACTGTTACAATGCTGTAATGAGCTGACTCTTAAGCACGACAACAGGGCACTGCACGCACTACCTACCACTCTCATTCGCAGTCCAACCTCAAAAAAGGATGCTGGCAAATATCATTACAGTCCGAAATCATAGAGGTAATGGATGGCATGAAAATTGATAAGTAGAATGTGCTAGAAAGTGTTTAGAGTGGGTGTTTGCAGTTTGCTGAAGAAAGTGGAGCTGGAGACAGTGGAAGGATTGTTAGAATCTTCACAAGATACAGGGGGAGGTCCCAGAGGATTGGAAATTGACAAATGTGACATTCTAATTCATGTAAGAGTGTAAGGTCTTACCTAGCAAGCACAGGTCAATCAGTTTAACATCAGTGGTGGGTACGGCTCAAGTGACAATCATCTTGAGAAAAGTATCGAAAGATTTCTAGAGAAGTCTGAGTTAATTTAGGAGAGCCAGACAAATTTGTAAAGGCAAATCTTGCATATTTAGTTGAATTGAAATGCTTAATGAAGCAACAGAGAAAATGGATGAAGGGAATGTGGTGAATGCTGTGTATATGGCTTTTAAGGAAACGTTTGACAAATTTCCACAGAAGAGGATGGTTCACAAAATTGAGGCTCAAAGAACAGGAGGGTCAGTGTCCAAAGCAATAATATATTGGTTTTCAGAGAGAAAACATGGCAGTTGTACTTGCAGGAAAGTGGTGGCCGGTGAGGCTCTCAAAGGGTCGGTGCTAGCATCACTGCTGTTTTGATATAAATAAATGACTTGGGTACTGGAATATCAAGCAAAATTTCAATGTTTATTGAGACACCAAACTCAGAAATGAGGATGATTTTAACTGACTGTAACAGACACAACAGGCCTGGATAATGAACAGGCAAGTGGCCGATTGAATCGAGTACATAGAAATGCAGGTTGATGCATTGTGGAGAAGGGATAGGGTGAGGCAACACAGACTTAATGGCACAAGTGTGAAGGACAGAGGGATCCGAGTGGTCATGTGCATTAATATTTAAAAGTGAGAGGACACATTGAAAAAGTGGTTAGCCGTTAGCGCTGCTGCCTCACAGTGCCAGGGACCCGGTTTTGAATCCAGCCTTGGGCAGCTGTCTGTGTGGTGTTTGCACATTCTCCCTGTGTCTGTGCGGGTTTCCTCTGGGTGCTTGGGTTTCCTCCCACAGTCCAAAGATGTTCAGGTTAGGCGGATTGGCCATGCTAAATTGCCCATAGTGTCCAGGGATGTGTAGATCAGGTGGGTTATAGGGGGATGGGTCTGGGTGGGGTTGCTCGAAGGGTCGGTGTGGACTTGTTGGGCCGAAGGGCCTGTTTCCACACTGTAGGGATTCTATGAATCAAACTGTGAGAAATCTTGGGCTTCGTAAATAGAGGAATATTGGGTACATGGGAACATCAGAGCAGGAGTGGGCTCTTCAAGCTTGCTGTATCATTCTAGATCATAGTTAATCACCTACATCAACCCTATATTCCCATACCTTCTCCATATCCTTTAATGGCATTCATCACTAGAAATCTATCACTCTCTGTGCAAAAGCAAGGAAGTTACATTGAATTTTTATACAGCTCTGAGTAGGCCAAACTAAAACACTGCATCCCACTCTAGTTGCCACAATTTAGGAAGGTCCTTGAAAGGGTGGAGAGGAGATTTACTAGAACCGTTCCAGGGCTGGGTTGGTCTACTTGGAGCAAAGGAAATTGAGGGATGAGTTGATAGACTTGTACAAGATCATGACAGGTTTCAGTAAAGGAAAGCTGTTTCCATTTGTTGACACAAACGTGAAGTTTTGGGCAAGAGAAATAGGAGATGTGATGAAGAATGTTTCCTTTAAACAGTGCGCATGGAAATGACCTGTGACACTCGACTTACAAGTTAGTGGAAGTGAAGACTATTAATGATTTCAAAAGGAAATTGAGAACTGAAAGAACTGTGGATGCTAGAAATCCAAAACAAAAACAGAAATTGCTGCAAAAGCTCAGCAGGTTTGGCAACATTTGTGGAAAGAAATCAGAGTTGACATGTCTCGGTCCAGTGACCCTTCTTCAGAACAGACCCGAAACTTTAACTCTGATGTTTCTCCACAAATGTTACCAGACCTGATGAGCTTCTCCAGCTATTTCTGAGATGAAGACTGTTCCATTCTCCAGCATTAACATACTTCACCTGGACAAATGCAACAGTAACTCCCGATAATTAAGTGGCAAGAAGTTGCCGTGAGTGTCTTACCGGCCCAGACTTCCTGTGACTCTGGACGGTGAAGTCTGGGCAGAAGAGAAGGTCAGCGATGGCCAGTAAGAGGGATTCAGCGAGAGGCCGGGCATTCTCATCATCTCCTTCATCAGCCTGAGTACAAACAGAGAGATCAGATAAACATCCATTACAGACTGCAACACAAGCTTTCCCCATTGCCTTCATGGGCACAGCCATAAATTTCCCATCTGATCAAGGACAAGCAATGGGCCACGGCTTCCAGCACAGTCTGTTCCAGCACTTCCAGCAATTTGGTATATATCTAATTGGCTCCCAAATATAGCAATGATGATTACACCTGAGACATACAGTATTGACTGGAAATGTTTTGTGATGCCCTCACATTCATGTTTTCCTTTCTCTTTCTTCTGACAGTAGAAACTAAATATTCTCAGAGGCTGTGGAAGCTCAATCACTGAATGTGCTCAAGACAGACATTGAGAGATTTCTGGCTACTGCAGGCTATTTCCCCTTCTTAGACAATCCCTCAGGGTTGAGGATGGCTCTCTTCCACTCTGGTCTTGTGGGCCGTGAAGTAACTAAACAGTTCACGGTTGGGCTGCATGCCATCCTGATGGAGAGGCTGTTTGAAGAGGAGGTGGATGGGATGCTCAGGGTTCGACACGCTCCTTCCGCTGACCTCCATCTGGCCTGTCAGAAAAACCACACAGCAGATAACTGAGATAACAAGGTGTAGAGCTGGATGAACACAGCAGGCCAAGCAGCATCATAGGAGCAGGAAGGCTGACGTTTCGGGCCTAGACCCTATCTCTGATCTCAGATTCTCCAGCATCTGCAGTTCCTACTATCTCTGATACAGTAGATAACTGAATGTTGGAGCAGACTTGATGGGCTGAATGGCCTAACTCCTATTCACTAAAATACATGGACTTGGCCAAGATCCTAGTTATCGTCGTACTATTTGGTGTTAATGTTCCCCTGCCCCTTGGAGAACTCAGCACTGACCTCTGCCGAAGGCCATGTATATAACTCTGAGATCATCACTTCCCGAAACCTGCCAACACACTTGGATTTTCAGTTTGGATTCAAATCGAGATTGATGTGAATCTTTGGAAAGTGGCCATAGTTCAGCTTTTTGAGGTTTATAAAGGTAGTCAGAGATACTGATATTTGAAATCTTTATCAGGTTCCCAGGAACTTCTACTGAGGGAAGGAGAGACATTTGCAGCATCCTTATTGATTACTTATGTCTGTAACATTGAAAACTAAGTCCAGAAATGGCTTTTAAACAACTATTTGCATAGGGCCCTATAGCCTTTTCAAAAACAGGTTTGTCTTAGTAACTACGGGTCATAAACCTCACTTCTTATTTCCTTGAAAGCTTTGCTGGTCTTTTCTCCAAATGTAACTAATTTTCTGTAAACAGCATATGGCTTACAGCACACATTAAAACGTTGACGTCGTTTCCAAAAATAAACCTTATCAATGCTGAAAAACATTGACACGGTTCGGTTTCTGCCAATTTTTCTCATAGTTCTTAAATATTAATATGTATTTGCAATATGTGGATATTGTATTCCTCTACTCCCATAATTGAATGGAAGAGAAAGGTGAGAAGGCAATGGCATTGTGGCAATTTGAGTAGACTATTAATCCAGAATCCTAGGTTAATATTCAGGGGACATGGGACATAGACACCATGGCAGACAGTGCAATTTGAATTCAGTAATAAACCGAGGCAATGGCGACTATGTAAACACAGCGGATTGTGGATTGTTATAAAGACCCATCTGGTTTCCCAATATCCTTTAGGGAAGGAAATCTGTCTTCCTTACCTGCTCTGGCTTACATGTGACTCCAGACCCACGGCAATGTGGCTGACAATGGCAGTGCAAGAGTTCAGATACACTCCAGCTGTGTTTTCAAACCACGCAGGATGTGTGCTTTTTGGGATTTGGTCTCTGAACAATTCCGGATGGGCACTGAATCCAGGCCTAGTCAACACTACCCACATCCCATGAAAGAATGTATCTGTGCTTTTCATGACCATTGGATAATTCAGTGCTTCGCAACTTGTGAAGTACTTTTTGAAATAAAAACATGCTGGAGAAACTCAGCAGGTCTTGCAGCATCTGTGGAGAGAGAAACAGAGTTAATGTTTCATGTTGATGGTCCTTTGTCTGTTTTTCTGTCCACAGTTGCTGCTGACCTACTGGGTATTTCAGATTCAGCAACAGCTGCAACATTTTGCTCGAATGCTTTTTTGAAATGCAGTCACAGCTTTTTGATGTGGACCATTTGATGACTGAGAATATCCAACAATCCAATAGACTCCACCCTTAACACGGCAAGACTCTGTCTGCAAATCATTCTCCTAAACAGAACGAGAAACAATCTGCCTACCATCTTCTGATCACTTGAAAATGGCCGTTTGGACACAATAAGACCATCACCCCTCAACACAGAAAGACTCAATATCAGAAGTGAGGTTTATGACCCATAGTTACTAAATAAACCTGTTTTTGAATAGACTGTAGGGACCTATGCAAATGGTTGCCTAAAAACCATTTCTGGACTTAGTTTTCTACGTTACAGACGTAAGTAATCAATAAGGATGCTGCAAATGTCTCTCCTTCCCCCAAGTAGAGGTTCCTGGGAACCTGATAAAGATTTCAAATACCAGTATCTCTGACTACCTTATGAACTTCAAAAAGCCGAACTATGGCCACTTTCCAAAGAATCACATCAATCTTGATTTGAAGCCGAACTGAAAATCTAAGGCTATCAGCAGTTCAACTTTGTCTGGGTGGGCTGTAAGAAGTCATCACATTCTATCTTTTCAGATCCTTGGCCAACAGGGATGCTTGTCATCCCTTTCGCCTTATCTAATAAAACACCATCTCTGCAGAGACTGCTGTCTATATACATTGTGAGAATGTTCTTAATGAACTAACGTTCTACTTCCAGAATATAGCTTAGATGATAACCATTGTTTGCCACTTGTTTAAAGAGTAAGCTTTGTTTACAAATAAACTATTTTAAGTCAATTAAAGAAGATTGGCAAAAATCTCTTTCATTCTGATAGTAGCACAAAAGGGAATCAGTCAGACAATTCAGTGATGAAAGTTACATTCAGAGTTCTGAAGAAGGGTCACTGAATCTGAAACATTATCTCTGCTTTCTGCCTGACCTGCTGAGTTTTCCCAGCAATTTCTGTTTTTGCTTCTGATTTCCAGCATCTGCAGTTCTTTAATTTTTTTTCGTTTAGAATTATATTCATGGTGAGACTGATGGGGTACTAGGGCTTGACTACCAGCCCATTCCTCCCATCACAGCTATAACACAGGTTTATCTGCAACTTACTGTCTAAGACAGAAAACAGAACCTTTATAATCACAAAGCCAGCTCAACACGACACCTTGTCTGAGGTTCCGAGTTCTATGTCTCCACACTCTTCAAACAAAGCTTGAATCATTGCTGACACCTAATAAAGAAAACCTTTGAAAGTACAGCAACTCTTGAGTGAATCTATTGAGAAGTATCTTAGAGCCCTAAACTGAACTTATGCAAGAGAAAGCATTTGGAATTATTCTTGGTATGAATTGCAGGCCAGGACAATGGCAATGTAAGAGTTCGGATACACTCCAGCTGTGTTTTCAAATCACACAGGATGTGTGCTTTTTGGAATTTGTATTTTACCTTGGTTAATGAATAACTTCAACTGGCTTTGTGCCCACATGCAATTAGGAGCTATAACACGGAATAGCTGTTGGGAAAATACAATGTTATTGTGACTGATAAGTCTTGTTATCTACAATGTTGGCTTATTGGAACTCTGTCAAACAGGCAACAAGACCTTCAAGAGCCGACTGCCTGAATATTGCAGGCCGTTCTCTGCTGTGCCTTTCAAATATGCAGTTCAGTTCTCATCAGTTCAAGTTCAACCACAGGCAAAGTAAATCTGTGAAAATATTCTGAAGTAACTAGCAATTAAGGCCACTGAGCACAGGAGGATCTCCTACATGAAGTGTCACAATATTGTTGTATTTTGCAATGAAATAAGATGAATTCACCATCACACAGTGAAGGTGCCCCTAGGTAGCAGCAAACATAACATAGCTAAATTTTATGTTCGGTTTGAAGGAGTGAGGAATGGGTCCAAGATAATATTCTAAATTTAAATAAGGTCAATTATGAGGGCTTGAAAAGAGAACTGGTTGAAGTGAATTTGCAAAGGATAGATCAATAGAGATTCAGTAGCCGACATTTAAGGGATTTTTCAGAATATGTAGAATAGACGCATTCCAACAGCTAAGAAAAATAAATCAAGATGTAATCCCACCGTCGATGGTTAACTAGAAAGATCAAATGAAAAGAGGAAGGTACAATGCCATAAAGACAAGTGGAACATCAGAGATTGGACAGAAAGTAAAAAAACAGCAAAATCGATCAAAGAGTGAACAAAGAGGGAAAGATTAGAGTAAGAGAGCAAGCTGGCCATAAATATAAAAGCAGGGGTAACAGCTTCAGTAAATATTTAAAGAAAAGTTAATAAAATGACCGTTGATCCTATAAGGAAAGTAAGGAAATGACAGATGAAATGAACAGATATTCACTTTCACATCTGTCTCTGCTACAGAGGATACACATAACATCTTAGCAGAAGCAACAAATCAGGAAATGATAGGGAAGGAGAAGCTCTGGAAAATCACAATCACCAAAGAAGTGGTACTGAGTAAATTATTGGAGCTATGGGCTGACAACTGCTCAGGTTCTGTTAGGGCCTGCACCCTAGGGTCTGTCTAGTGATTAGTGACTATTGAGATAGTTGATACATTGGTTTCAATTTCCCAAACCTCGCCTGATACAGGGAAGGTCCCATCAGAATGCAAATGAACAAACGTAACTCCTTTATTCAAAAAAGGGACAGAGATAGAAAACAGAAAACTAAGGCTAGCTTACCATCTGTCATAGGGGAAAATGTTTGAAGCTATTGTTAAAGAGGTTATAAGAGGACACTTGGATAGGTCAAGATAATCAGGTACAGTCGACATGGTTTTGTGAAAGACAGATCATCCTCGAGTTCTGAGGAGGTAACACAAGTTGTGGATGAAGGAGAAGCAATGGATCAT